AAACAAGGTACATGTTGTGAAGCTCATAAAGTGAGGCAAATAGAAATAATCAGCTGATGGAGTGTAGTTGTGGAAATAGCTGCATTCGATCAGCTGACTGTTTTCACAATAAAAGTAGTTTCTTAGTGAATGTCCTGTACTGGTCTTAAAATCTCATAACATCAGCTTTTAATGTTCCTCTTGGATGTTCTTCTTGACCCTCAGAGAAGGAGAAAATGTCGTGTCTTTCAGGCATGTCCTTTCCTAACAAAAATGACAGGAAACATAAAACATATTATTGCAGAACAAGTGTGTTATTTATGAAAGCGGTGTGTTTGTGTGTTTAGGGGCTGTAGATATAATTATTTTGTAATTGTAATGGGTTTTTTTTATTTCAACAATGAGCTACAAAGACAATCAGATTATGAATGAACAGTATGAAGTTCATCAACATTGAAATATATGTTATTATCAAAATAATATTTAACTGTTATCAAAACGTAGTGCAACTGTAGAAGCTTGCTCTGTTGTCTCACTGAAAGAATAACTTTTACCACGTTTTTTACAGACAATATTGAGAGATAAATAGTAGCAGTTCTCACTATGTGTTAAATATCTTTGCCTTCAATACATTACATTAGAAAGCTGACAAAGTCATATTGCTAAATATCTAAATGTAACTTTTTGCATGGAAAAAACACTCAACTTCACTGATGTGTAGGTGATCTAGTATTTAGTATTGTTTAATGGAATGTATATCAGTGTATTAAAGTCAATACTTCATTCATTTAAACCAATATCTTTCTTGATTCTTTGTACAGTATGAAAAAAGAGTCTTTGTACCTGTGCTGAAGTTCACTGCTGTGATGAGTCCAGTTCTGTCTCTCACTCTCTGGTCCAGCCTGTCTGCATCACCTGGACACCTTAAACAAACATATATATATATATATATGTAAAGTACCATGTGTACAAACAATATAACTGATTCTCTTCTGTTGAACATGTTGGATTGTGTATTGTCCGAGTCAGGGTCCTTTTTATTTTACTGTAACTTTGGAAGTTGTGTTACCAATGCTTACTGTTTATTTGATACCCATTTGGTAATACAATTAATAAAAACAACAAGGTTTGGGTTCGTTCTTCAGATGACTGTGACTTTAACGTGTAAGCTCAATAATGAACTCCAGCTCAACCAACCATATTGTAATATCTAAGTAATCATCTTGAAATATGACATTAATAATTGTAATATACACACATCTTATTGTGAGGTTGATTTCACATACACTACTTCGACATTAGCTTGTCTACATACTTGAGCATAGCCAATTTAAATTAACCTTAGATGCATACAGTTCTACCTACATAATAAAATATCTCTAAGTTACAAGGATGTAACCTTATTTTATCAACCTCAAACAGAAGCCGTTTGTTCAACAGTATTATCCCACTTAACACTTGTCTATTTAGTTTTAACCTTTATATATACAGTCTATGATTTTAACTTGGAGGCTACGATTACAATCGTTAGCACCGATGTAGCTACCACTAGCCACTAACTAACCCAAGCCTTACCATTCATTACGTAGCCGATTAAAATCATTAACACATAAATAAAGCACTCGAATTTCACTTACCGCATTCATGCACCGTCTGTTTTAACCGCAGAGCGAGTCACAATAGTCCGATATATAAGCATGAAGAACAAACAACCACGGCCGGCTACAAGTTGTGTTTCCTGGATGAGCTGAGCAGGCAGAGTCCCTGTAGCTAGCTTCACGGAGCAGCTAGCAGAGAGACAAGAAGCTAACAGCGGCAGGCACTTGACAGAGCCGTCACTCAATGTGACCACGCCCTAATTTATGCACAAACTTTAAGACCTAATATAAATAAAAGGGTCGCGTTAGAAAACAATTCACTCACAGATCCATAATCATGAAGGTGGAATCTAACTATATCGATAATAAAATGTATGGAGCCAGGGGTAGAAACATGTTTTTTTCTGCTGTAAAGTTGGGCATTTTAACATGGGGGTCTATGGAAATTGCTCCTTTCTGCAGCCATCGCCTATCGGCCAATATATGAACTGCAGTGTGTGGCACTTCCGTATTGGCTTCCCGGCTCTACCCCACAGTTTGCCGCTTGAATAAAACCCTATACCAGGGCTTCTCAAACTCCGGACCAAAGTCCGGATCCGGACCGGACTGCAAATCAATCCGGACCGAACCCTGTGTCCCATTATTAACACAAAAAAAAGAATTTCTGATTCTGATGTAAATTAAAGTGGACCTATCATGCTATATTGGAAACATATATTGTCCATACACAAAACATGTCTGTGAAGTTTTTTGCTTAAAATACCAGTTCACCCATTGTAGCCATGCCTCATACTGCTCACCCCTCTGTTGCAGCCCTGTTAGAAAAACGTGGATTTTGGGTCCTTAGCTTGAAAAAAAAAAAGAGGATGGCGGAGCTAATGCCTGATCAGAATTCTACCGGAGATAAAGTTAAATTCTGCTGTGATAAAACGCCATCCTGTTCTAAACCACATCAAAGATTATTTCTTAAACAGTATGGAGCTCAAATGCTTTTTCTCTTGCGGGTTTATCACAAGGTGAGTTCCTTTTTTTATTTCCTGCTTTTTAAACACATGTGCTCTAAAGTACAGGTTAGCTCTGAGTGTTAGCGAGGCTTGCTAATGTAAACAAAGACGAGATTACGTCCAAAACACGTCAGGCATTGTTTCTGATAGCTATTTTATGTAGAGATGGCAAATCCGGATCATTTTATGGACTCGGAGTCTTCTGAGTCAATCATTGAAGAGATCCGGATCATACGAGTCATTTGAGTCATATGAGTCAGCATGACCAAGACCGTAGAAATCCTACCGGTGAAACCGAAAAGTTGTTGCATTTAACCAGCATATTAAACTAACGTTACATTAACCTCCGCTACACAGTGTCTTTTGCTTTAATAAAACATGTGTGTGTGTGTGCATTTTAAAAAATAAGTGTTTTGCATTATATGTATATAGTTATTTTAATATGTTCCTGTACTTAAGCTAATTTTGCACAATTGTGTTTTCATTTAATAATAATAATAATAATAATAATAATAATAATAATAATAATTGTATAATTACATTTTATATATTCTAACTGTTTTGCAATTTTCTATCATTTGTTTCTTTTTGTGTGCCATGTTCAAAATAAACGAGTTTCCAAGTAAGATCCTTATTGGAAATGCAGATATTATTACAGGAGACTGTTGCACAACATGACCATTTTGTTAGAAGTCTACACTGAAACTTAATTTAGAGCCGGAAAAATCGCGGGATCCGTGAATCCAGGTCAATGATCGAGAGAGACCAGTAGCCTACGAGGACTCAGAGCCGTAACATATAGCAGGCAGCAGATCCAGAGATCCAGCAGACTCGTCCCCATGCACGAATCTACAGCAGACTCAGCCCCTCCTCCGGCTCGCACGGCTCCCGCGAGTCCTACGGCTCCCGCGAGTCCCACGGCTCCCTCGACGAGTCGCAGCAGACTCAGAGATTTGCGGACTCACGGCTCACTCACGGCTCACGGCTCACTCATGGCTCCCGCGAGTCCAACGACTCACGGCTCACTCACGGCTCACGGGACTCTCGCGGGAGCCGGAGGAGGGGCTGAATTTGCTGTTGATTCGTGCATGGCGACGAGTCTGCTGGATCTCTGGATACAACAACGTTGTAATGTGATTGTACACGTTATAAAGAGAGTAAAGAGTGACGCAATTTATAGTTTTAATTGTTACGTCACATCAGGTGTAGGACTCAAAGGACTCGGGTTAATCGAGAGGGAGACTCGTCACGACCGGCTCATTACTAGGATCCGGGTTAATGATCCGGATGAATCATGACTCGCCCATCTCTAATTTTATGTGGGTCCACTGCCGATTTGATGTCAGATCGGCAACAAATCTGTATCCGCTCATTGTACCCCTGTTTTTAAAAGATTTGGGTAAAAGAGAGGGTTTTATTTTCTGACGCTGCGTGAGTTCCCCGACGCACCGGGGACACATATTTATGTATAAAAGACATCACAAAGTGCATTTTGCATGATAGGTAACCGCAAGTTTACCTAATGCTTCTAATGCCATTTTTGCCGAGGTTCAAGGCATTGGCTACAGACAAACAATGCAATTTCTCCCACTAGTTCAAGCCATCATACTGTATGTATTGAATGTGTGTGTGTATACAGGGGCACCGTTTACCGACAGGCAAGTGCTTGGACCAGAAGGGGGCCCCCAAATAAAGTAGATTCATCCAATCCAACTTTATTTATATAGCACTTTAAAACCTCCAGACCAAAGTGCTGTACAGAGAGATACATAACATAAAATCACACAGCTCAGCTCACAAAACATAAAATTAATTAATTAATTTTAAATAAAAGATACAAACACAAACCATGGATAATGCACCTTGTATACAATTCACAAGTGGACCTTTAACAAAAACGTTTGAGTACCCCTGCCGTATACACAGAGGAGTAATGGATTACATGTAACCAGATTATGTAATCAGGATACATACAAGTATTCCCTTAGTTACGTTTAACAATTACGTCATATTACTGTTACATTTTTTTTAATGGGGATTACTCACAGGATTACAATGTTACAATACATTTTAAATAATGAAAAAACATTTTATTGATATTTGTTTTCTCTTTTATTTGGATTAAGCCTAAATTATATTGATTTTGCTTCTGAATAAACATTGATAGCTGTGTAATATAATCCTATACCCAACCCATGTCTCTATTGTTCAACCATGATAATCAGATGAGAGTTCTAAAGGAAACCATACAAAAAAGAACACTCCATGATTCCAGAATCCTTCCACATCAAAGACAATTCCGTTGGAACAGGTATAGGACTCAGTCAGAAGTCATTCAGTATCACCTGCTCAGACAGGGAACACAGGAAAACCATTGCTCTTCAAGTGCTTTGAATTTACAAAACTTGACATAACAAACATGTCCCTTTCAACTCTGAGAAAGGAAAACCTGCAGCTCCCAGGGAGCTCCACAGGTGAGACACACAGCATTTTCTTCCTCATGTGTAATCTGAATAAATCTGCAAAAAGTCCTGATCCTACTGAAAATGTTGAAAAAGTAATTTTTTTGTGATGGAGTTAGAAGAGAAGCAATAATTCATTCAGTTAGATAAATACAAGGACAACTGTGAGATCAAGAATAAAGTACAGACACAATGAGAAAGTACAGTTATATAATTAATAAACGTTGAGTTGATTGATATTTTTTCAATAATTTGCTTTCGAGTGGCGTGTTTAATGTTGTTGAATGCTCCTCATTTAAATGACCGGAGAATCATCTGTATTGCTTCGTGTTGACTGAATGTAGAGACTAAACACATGTTCTCTCCATGTGTCTGTCTCAGGACCTGAGGCTGAGATCCAAATCTTGGACGTGCTGCACAGTGTGTACCAGGTACTGGAATTCACCTCCACCGGCACCTTCAGTTCAGTCGCTGAGTGCAACAACACACAAACAAAAGAATCTGTGGCCATCAAGATATATAAGAAGGAGTCCCAGAAGCACCACACAGAGGTATACATCATCTGAGTCTAAATGATCACATTTCATTTAATGCCATTTATTAATAACTGTTACTTAGATGCCTTCATTTTTGTGTTTTCTCTCCAGCTGGCCATGCTGAAAATGATCCATGGTCTTGATCCGAACAACCTTGTTCGATTCGTGGAGAGCTTTGAACACAAAGGGTACTCATGTCTGGCCTTTGAAAAGTTGGACATGAATCTGCACGAGCTGCTCAACGACAGACCTGGCAACCCGCTCTCTCTGGAGGAAATCAAACCCATCGCACAACAGGTATGTGGATGTGATCTAACCGGGTAGCGATCATGATGAATTGTGTACACCAATACGTTCAAAATGGTCAATTTTTAACTGCAGCAACTTTATTTATCTTCTGTCTCTGCAGCTGCTCAGTGCACTGAAGTCTCTGAAGACTGTTGGTGTAACTCACACTGATATCAACCCGCAAAATATCATGCTGACGATTGAAAACGACCAACTCAGAGTCAAGATCATCGACTTTGGTTCAGCCGTTGTATCTGCGAAAGTGAAACGCGGTGTCGTCATGCAGGCTGCTGCATTCAGGTGGGTATTTGAGTTCCAGTTATCATTAGTTGTTTGTTTTTTTGTATTCAAATCACATCATTGATATGTAAAACATTCTAAAATGAAAAAGCTTGTTTTCCACCCTCAGGTCTCCTGAAGTTATTCTGGGCCTTCCCATCACAGAGGCAGTAGACATGTGGTCTTTGGGTGGAGTTTTGGCAACCATGTACCTCGGCAGCCCGTTATTCCCTCAGAGATGCATAGTTTATCATGTAAGTAATCTAAACACAATTAGATTTAGGTGTTTATCTTGAAAACCCAAATAGAAGCGTTTTGGCTAATCGATTTCTGTTATCCAGATGAAAACCGAAGTTAAGATGATGGGTAACAATTCCGAGAATGAGCAAAGATTTGCCACCCTCCTTCGTAAGATGCTGCACCTGAATCCTGAGAACAGAATAACACCCAGTGACGCTCTGCTTCACCCGTTCATAACTGGACTGGATGCTGATGACTCTCTAGTCGAGGAATCATCTGAAGAAGATAACAGTTACGCTGATGATGGTTATTATTCTGCAACGGACACCTCAGAGGGTGCTTCATCCAACATGAGCTCAACAGACGTAGCCTGCGCTGACAATGAATCAACAGATTCTTTCGTCAGTAGGTTGGGTGTAGAAAAAGGTGGTGGAGACTCACACAGAGCAACAACTGGCCTGTATGATGCCGTGTCGGCTGACCAAGGCACAGTCACAGCTGATAACCCTGCTCCACCCTTAACGTTTGACTCCACTGACGCCCACATTGGCTCGGATGGAGTCTCAACCAGAAACAGTCGTGGAAAAAGGATCAGGAAGTTCTTCAGCAGGATGTTTAGGGCCCTGTGCAGCTGTTGCTCTACAAATGTTGAGCAATAATTGTATGTTATTTTCTTTCTTTGTTCTTTTATTTCATCATTATTTTAAAAAAACGGTTGCAATGGCACTGACCAGGGCCAAAAGGGAGGGTGGAGGGGGTACAGATGAGGGATTCTGGCAGGGAATCTGGGGCAGATGGCCGGGGTGCAAGTCAGAGGCTGAGCACGGGCAGACTCTGGGGGCCCGGCTGGAGGGCGGCGAGACCCCTCTGGAGGACGGCCTGGAGTGTGGTTGGACAGGAGGGGCAGAGGGAGCTGGTATCTGCAGGACCTCCGACGGAACGGCAGGGGCACGGTGAGATGGAATCGACTCGGGGGCCGGTGGAACAGGAGAGGGAACAGGAGTCGTTGGGACCCGCAACGGAACGGGAGCAGGAGTCGGACGGACCCCCGACAGAGCAGGAGCCCCGACAGAGCAGGAGCCCCCAGGAGTCGGCGGGGCCCCCTTACGGGAAAGGGGCGGACGGGACTTTTTTTTATTTCAGCCGTTTACATGTTGAGTGGTTGTGGTAAAGCACAGACAACATTAACATGTGTGTGTTGAATCATTACAGTTGGATTTATAACATCGAGTAGACATAAACAATGTTCAGTAGTCGGAAAGATGTATGGATAAATGAGCAGAGGTGGGAAGTAACAAAGCACATTTACTAAATGTCCATGTTATGCTACTTTGTACACTACACATATTGTGTATATTTAGTTACTTTACAGACTTAGGTTAATAATGTTAAATATAATCAACACTTAAATAAGACTTTAGTTATACCTCGAGTAACATTCACAAGCCCCAGTCTCACAAAAAAAAAACGTGTAATAATGTAAACGTTGGTCGACAGGGCAAAACGTAGTATATTCACAAATAACCCTCTCAAGACGTGACATGGAAACAATATTTTGTAAAGAAAAACATGGAGCTCAAATAATCTTCGTAATATCTATCAAACTATAGATTCTACACGTCTCGCTATTTAATCAGAAAGCGTTTTAATGGCCAAACTATCTTACAATTTAGGATTTCCACTAAAAATAAATCGGGTGTCTGCCATGTTCAGGGTGCTATGGAGCCTCGCAGCTGCGAAACCGTGCCGCGCCACACAAATTGCGCCGCATAAGCGCATAGGGGCACCGCATTTTCGGCTCAGTTGAGGCACCCTCCTCAAGATGAGGCCCCCTCCGCAAGGTGAGGCCCCACGCAGTCTGCATGATCGGCCTGTAGGGAGGGACGGCCCTGGCTACCCTGCAGTGTACAAAGTCATTCAAACTAGCTGCACCTTTACCAGCTTTGATAACACTTTAATGCATAATTAATTATAATTAAAATATATAATATATATTATTCTGAAATAGGCAGTCTGCATAATAGGTACTTTTACTTTTGGCACTTTAAGTAGCTATATTTTGATGCCAATACTTTTGTACTTTTCCTTGAGTAACATTTTGATTGCAGGATTTTTTGTTGTAACGGAGTATTCCTACACTCGGGTACTTCTACGTTTACTCAAGTACAATATCTGAGTACTTCTCCTACCTATGTCAATGTATTCCAAATGCATTTCACACTTAATAAAGGAAATCAATGTGATAAATAACTCTGTCCTTAAGTTAATGCCTGCGATACGAAATGCAGTGAAATTTTTTTGCATATAGGCTACTTGCCGTTTTTGTTGTTTTAATCACCTTTGCAAAATTCAACCTTGCTGGACTTTTTTTTTTTTAAATGACACATCAGAAGTGCATATGTGAATACTAGAACACAGCACCGTCATTCTTCAAGGGCCACTCTTGGAAAATCCCTTTGATTGATAGTCCTGTGCCTTTAGTAAATAAGCACTTTTTTAAACTACAGAATACAGATGAAAATATTGGGTTCAATGCTTATGAGAATATTTCTCTCATAGATCATCTCTAAACTGTGACTCAGCCATGTCATCCAAACAGAACTTGACTCACAACGACAGCTGGGAAATGTTTTCCCAGCCTCTGGTTTCAGTCAGGTAAGATACCTGCAGGGACAGTTGATGATGTCATCATGTCTGATGTGCCTCTGTTTATAATAAACAGGTAACATATTCAGAATTATGTCCTAAACACTGTGCGTTTTTGGCACATATTGGGATGTGATAATATGAACACATCTCTGGATACAGCAAAAATAGTTTCAATATAGCACACAATTCTATATATTATGGCTATGAGGGAACTGTTTCCACAAAGTGATACAAATCTCATTGTTTTAATGTTACTTTAACATATTTAAAATATATGAAAAGCATTACATTGGTGTAGGTTAAACTGTCAGAAGAGATATATTTTATCCTGCAGGAATAGTTTAATGATACATCAGAAAGTAAAGGACTTTACAGGCAAAAAAAACACAGTGATTATCAACATTCTGTAGAATAATAATAGCGAGTCTTTAAGTATGAAGGTAACTGTAAGCCACAGACTAGTAGAAAACAGTTTCACGATAATAATTTAGGCAGAATATGTTCAGGAGAACCAAAAAAGTACTCTGACTTATACAAATATATATTTCCTTTCGTTGGGATATGTTTTACTTATTTTTGTTGGCCAAAAGTCATACAATATTAAGAAATCTTGCATGTATTGAAGATAAAAGAGTACAATGTGTCAACAGAGAGTGAGAGAGCTCGCGCGAGATAAACGGCAGGTATCCCTTGTAAAAGAGATCGTTGATCTCAATGGGATTGTTTACCTGGATAAATAAAGGCTGCAAGACCAAATATGGTCACACCGGAAAAAAGGTACGTTTGACCCCCACTCTTTCGACTATGCAAATGAGGGTGACGTCAAGAGACTACTTTCTTATAAAGCTCCTTGTCAGTTGAACAACAACCTCCAAAGGGAATAGGCCTACCGGAAATCAACAATATCTCAGTGCTCGTGCTTTTTTGAGACCTTACCTTTGGCGTGTGCGCGCTTCTAGAGTTTCTCTCCAAACAGGTTCGACCAGGACACACCTGCAGGGACAAAAAGGAGCCTTGTGTACTCGGGACGCCATTCTTTACTTCACTGACCTCTGAGGACGACAGACGGATAGAAAGCAGAAGAGGGAAACTTTTGGATTCACATTAATTCGTTTTTAAGGTTTAATTAATTCCACCATGATGAAAATGTGGATTGCTCTCGTGCTCGTTGCCTTCGCAGCGACGGCGTCAGCTCAAAGCTGTAAGTCTTTTGAATTCTTAAACTTTATTTATCTAAATAATGTCTCGCAAGCATGCTGCTAAATTATGATATTATTTAATAGTCAGTATATTTTCTCAATACTTGTATAGCTTTACATACGAAAATGTTAACTTTAATAGGGTGTGTTTGAACAGGTGGCAGTTTTATATTTTAATACGTTTCTTTCCTTACGCGTAATGTTTGCATTGTATGACGTCTTTTAATAAGTAAGAAAAAATGGGAAACGGAAGTAAAAGCTAGTTAAATATCAAACGCAGGTAGTTTCGCTGTTGAGTGGGGGTTGGGAGGATTTGTCCCGCTCCCTGGGGACTTCTCTGTTTGGAGAAACCAACGCCCAGGTGTTTGATCAACCTGCTGGTTTACCTGCTTTGACCTCTGTGTATAGTGCTGTATAACTGACCATACAATACATCCCTTATGAATAAGGCTTACACCAAGCCTATGAGACATTTTTCAATCTTTAATATCAACTTTATCATACTGTCTGCCTCTGTCCAAATATGTAGAATGCTGTAAAAACAATCCTAGTTTAGTGAAGTGCCATTAGATTAGTTTTTTTTTACCAGAAATATACTTTACATGCGATCTAGTTCATGCTTTGGATCACTGACATGTTCTTCCTTTTTTATTAATTGTGTTTCCTAATTAGGTTCATGTGAACCTATGAAATGGGCCACCTGTGATGGAAATCCCTGTGCCTGTTCTTTGATGGTTTCTGACAGCAATAAGCAAACCCTTGACTGCACCAAAAGTAAGTAAAACATAATTGATGAAATAAAGTATGTCGATTTTCTTACTTTTTTTGCTTGTTATTTACCCCCTTTCCCCCCACCTTCAGTGATTCCTAAGTGCTTCTTGATGAAGGCTGAGATGTACAGATCTAGCAAGAACCTTAGCACCCGTCTTATCGGAGGAAAACCAGTTGAGTCTGCCTTTGTGGACAACGATGGCATCTACGACCCAGAGTGTGAGAACAGCGGCATATTCAAGGCCAAGCAGTGCAACAACACAGAGGAGTGCTGGTGTGTCAACAGTGCTGGTGTTCGTAGAACTGACAAGGGAGACAAAACCCTCAAGTGTGAGAAGCTGGTGGAGACCAAGTAAGTGATGTCAACATCATTTCAGAGGACTGTGTTCAAAGTTATAGTGTTCCAACACTCTATATTAACCGCTTGTTTTCTTTTCTTTTAGCTGGGTTCGTCTTCAGCTGACACACAAACCTGTGGCAACTCCACTGAATAAAGATCATTTGAAAGCGTAAGTTTATTTAAAATTAATTAAAAACACTGACATTAGATTTTGAGTTTTTTTATGATTCTAATTTCTTGCCTTTTTAATACAGTGCCATTGCCGATGCCATTCACAAGCGTTATGACAACTTTAACAAGGCCATGGTGAAAGAAGTTGAGGTAAGTGTCTTATCTGGTCCACATTTTATTTCTGTTTGTTACATTAGTCAACTTCATAGGGACTTCTTTGAGAACAATTTATTATCAGAGCAGCATTACAGGAACACTCCACTCATTTCCTGTCTGTTCTTCTGCAGTATGATGCTGATTCTCGCATGATTGTGGTGGATGTGAAGAAAGTCAAGGGAGACCGCGAGAATGACCTGACCAACATGGCCTACTACATGGAGAAAGATGTATGTTAAATGTTCCTTTATTTAGTTATATATGTGTATATATCCAAAAGAGAAATCCATTGACCCTATTATAATCTCCTCTCCTGCAGGTCAAGGTGCTGCCCCTCTTCAAGAACCAGGACAAGTTTGCGGCCACTATGGGAGGCCAGCAGGTGGAGATGGAGAACATCCTGGTGTACTACGTGGATGAGGAGCCCCCGACGTTCACCATGAAGCACCTGTCTGGTGGGATCATCGCCGTCATCGTGGTGGTGGTGCTGGCTGTGGTCGCCGGCCTGCTGGTCCTGGTGAGTGCATTTATCTACTCATGGAACATGTCTTTTCTTCAGCATGCACATCTTTTGAGTTTACAAATCCTAACCCTCTGTTTTGTGTTTAGTTCTTCGCCAGAAAGCGACAGAACCAGAAATACAACAAAGCCCAGGTGAGATGAACATCTTGGACATTTTCACAATCATTCACGATCTTTGCACCATCGAATGTTTTTAACAACTCTTTTTGTGCTCTTTTCTTTGTTCTAATTCAGTCAAGAGAGCTGGAGCCCATGTAAATTCTTCAGGAGTCTCTGAAGAGTCGGCTTGTACATCACCTGTTTAGGATTCACTTTTAATTGCAGTGGGAGGGTGCCATTTTGACCAATTTACTTGAGGCATATGGATTGTAAAGGAATGAACTTGCTTGTGTTTTTTTTGTTGGCACTGCCGGTACCGCCATTTTTATTTATAAACTCTCTAAAGTCTTGACACAACTTTCAAATCTATATGCCATAAAGAACTTTTCGAAAATTAGCCTAGACCATATGCCGTTTTATGTTTAGAACACATTTGAAGGGTTTAAATGTTGCGCCATAGATTGTACAGTTTGTTACTTATGTGTGTTTGATGGATTGTTTTTAATAAAAACGTTTTTAAAAGACTTGATGTGATACAGGTTTCTTATTTTAAAAACTAAGGGTTTGTGTAAGAAGCTTTGTGCCTCGGACACGGTGGAAAAGTACAGAGGATCATATGGGGGGGAAGTGATGAAGCTAGAGGCAAACACTCTGGGCCCCATTTTGCATTGTGTGGTCATTGTTTATTCCCTCCCTTTAGTGTCACGTGAAATGGCTGCTTATTCTAATGTAGATTTACACGGGGCAGGTTTCTACCATGTTGAAATGTTTTTAAAAGGGTGTGGCTACCTGCTTTGAATCCTTAAAGGACACTTTAATCTCTGCTTTCCAATGTCCTTGTCTTGAATCTGACTAACAATACACTTGTAAATGTCTCATCCATGCCTGAATGTAGTTTAATATTGAGTGTTTGAGCTCAGTTGTGTGGAATGTAAGTGCCGTTTAGTGAGACTACCTTTTTAAAGGGAGCTGGTTAGTCACTTCTATCTCACCTCTGAAACTTGCAAAGTGTTCAACTTGTCAGTCAGGTTCTGTCACTATCATAAAAAAGGAACTAGTGCAATATGTACACAAAGGAGTTTAAAATTACTTATGGCAGCATTTATTCATTTGTCAAAACGGGAGACCTAACCGAAGACTGAATTGGGAATTTGTTGCACAATCATCTTGAAACAGGTGTTGTTGCAGCAAACCTACATTTTGGTGAAACTGGTTAAAAATGGCATTTGTATCCTGTCACATGACCTGTGTTGGGTGTGCTCCAGCTGAAGGCAGCACTCTAAGAAGCAGTCCTTGTTTAACCTTTGTCACACAATGTAGGATAAGTCTCTATTTTTCAAGGGACACAAAGTAAATGCTGTGCCAAAAAAAGCTGTAAGCAGCCTAAATGTATTTTATCTTTAAAGTACACAACATCAGATAGTTGACCTTACTTTGTGTAATTGTGCTCTTCTAGTTTGAATACTGTATATTAACCAGCAGAGTATTACAATTAATCATTTGTCTATTAGTTCTCTTGCCTCGCCTAGTTTTTCAACCCCATGCCTTCCCCCCACTTGTCTCCATAGCAACACAGGGGCAAAAGCATGTCTCTAACTAGTTCAGACAGGTTGGCTATGTATTTCCTCCTCCCTCCCCCACCTCTCTTCGAAACTACAGGAATGAAGGTGTGTCTCTTGCGGTCAGGCACCTGCTGCAGGTATCAACACGTCAGTTTTATTTTTGCCCCAATGAAGAGAAACTGTAGGAAACAAACTAGTGTTACCGGTGGGCGTGGATTGTTAATATGAGAGATGACTGCATACACCACTTTGCTGTAGTTTTGTTTATTCAGGCATTACATGTACAGTTATTCCAAGGATGATTACTTTTATGACAAATAAATATAAAACTGACGATACTTTTCTGTACAAGCTTGAAATAATACTTCAAAGTACCTGTTTACACCTTTATGACATGGGTCACTTTAGCCGTTCATGTGACACCTCCCGTGTGTTCATATGATTCGATGGGAGCTAGCCTTTGTTTATGGTTCGGGTGAAAGTTTGTCTCCTTTTCCAGCGAGTCATATTAGGATATATTCCTGTACAAAAAGCTTTAGAGGGTTAAATGATTCTATTACACACAAAACAGTACAGACAACACTATTTCTCTTTAACCCACACTGCCACACCCTCTTACCATCTTCCTCTAAATGTACCTGCGTTTCCTTTCTGAAAAATGTAATGTTAAAGGGTTCCTATTATGCTCAATTTGCGGTTCATATTTGTATTGTGTACTCTGCTGTGACACAATTACATGCTTTAATGTTCAGAAAGCTCTTTATTGTTCTCATACTGCCTGTGCTGCAGCACCTCTTTTCACCCTCTGTCTGAAACCAGAGCCCAGTCTGCTCTGATTGGTTAGCTGGTCGGCTCTGTTGTGATTGGTAAACTACTTAGAGATGTCCCGCCCATTAGCCCATCACGTACAATAAGTCGGAGCGCTAGCCAAGTGAAGCGCGAGTGTTACGTAGTGATGTCTTTATGTCGTGGAAGTAAACAAAGGAGTCCAATTTAGGCATTTCAAGCAGGGGGGAGTCTTAGGGATTTTAGCCTTTGCAGACCATGTCAATGCTCAAAAACCTATATAACGCACTACAGGAAAGGGAAAACCCCCAAAAGCATAATAGGGCCCTTTAAATGAAGGCATCTAGCTGGTTTCAGTTACTCTTCACCAGAAAGGCTTGAAGTATTTGATTAAAGTGCCACCACTCTCCTGACTGTTCAGTAACTAAGAGCACACAGGGTCTAAACTGGTGTCCTTTTTAAGTTAGACAAACCGCCAACTCATCGATTTCACTTCACTTTTTGAACAGTGTTCTTCAGTCTTTCCGTCTGCTTTCATCATATCGTTCAGTATCATTATATCTAACACTGTCTGGGTTTCACTTCCTGGTAGGGTTTCAATACCCTACAGGGGGAAGGAAAAATAAAAAAACACTGTCTTAATTATTCCCTAACAAAGAGTCATTGCCTCTTATTTGGTTAAAGCCAGAATACAATAATTTACTTCAAACAGCATCTTTGAACAAGTTAATGTTGCACAAGGTACAGGTAGATTAATAATGAGACTGCAAAACGCTAGCTCAGTCTGTCAATAAAGAGTGTTGACTTTTCTTTGAAGTCGGCACTTGAATGCAACACATTCATCAGTGACAAACAATGTCTTAAAAGAATGTTGTTTTAAGACACTTTTGAGGGTATTACAACACACTGCTCCAGGTTTATAAATCACCTTTTATACGCTTGAAATGAAAGGACAGGACATTCCAGAAATCCTGAGTGATGATGTGGGTAAACTGCTGCAACCTCAGCTGCTCGTTCATAATACAACTTACCAAATAGGAGACAAGTCCAAACTCATCTGGATGGGGCAATTACGCTTTAGAGAAGTGACCATTCCACATTCCAGAAATGAATCCGGGCCAATGAGTCACATCTACAGGACAGAAAGGATTCTGGCCTAGTGCAACTAAACCTGTACTGTAGGTAAATCCTTCATTTTTGTTATATAAGTGAAGCAAAAGGGTTGATATTTCTCAGGGCGAGTTATGTTTGTGTCGTCACAGCAGCGTGGGAGTTTTGCTGGGGCGTCCCAGAGTCGGGGGGGATTTGCTCCTCAGCTCTTTGCTCTTCAGGCTGATGGGCTGCGCCACCATCAGCGCCGGGGCGGAGAGGTGGTGCGCCGCCGCCTTCTGCTGATGAGCGCTGTTGATGTAACCGGAGATGAGCAGGGTGATCTCCCTTATCTGATGGCAAAACACAACAAAAAGGCCTGTCAGCGTGTAGTTTTGATGGTGCCTCCATGGACAAAGTTCACTTTATGAAATCGTTTAAGGGTCTGCTTCGGCTAGTGAAGGCTCTTTAGGAGATGCAATATAATGCTAGTAACTATTGAAGAGTGCATTTAGAAAAGTTTAGGGTTATACGTTTAGGTTTCTCCCATTTTTCCCTTTAAACTGAGGGTTTTCTCTGGAAGTGTTTCCTTGTACGATGTGAGGGTCTAAGGACAGAGGGTGTCGTATTGTCATACTGATATTCTGTACAAACTGTGAAGACCACTGAGACAAATGTAACATTTGTGATATTGGGCTATATAAATGAACATTGATTGATTGATTGATTGATTGATTGATTATACAAAGTGGTTTTTCAAGTTAAGAAGTTACTGACAGAATCTTTTTGCTATTGAACAACTTAAACTTCCACAAGTTCACAATTTTCATGCGAAATGAAAATGAAAATGAAAGTGTTTGGGGGGTTTTATCAGCTGTTTTAATTTAATATAGCATTTTGCAGGTTAGACTTAAAGGTGGGGTAGGTAATTTTGGAGAAACCAGCTCGAGTGCGCTAGAATTTTAAAATACACAGCTGGAACAAATCTGCCACTTCCTTACAGAGCCCCTCCTCCAACACACACGAACGCGCACATGACCAATGAGGGCATGAGATAAGTTTGTGCACAGATGGAAGGCTGACAGGCAGGTAGGCCGGCTTCCACAGATGATATTTTTTTATGGATTTTTCATCAAAGCTCTTAAGATATTCATTGCTATCGGGATGTTAAGAGCATTCTATGGAATATAACAAAAAGTGTATCTCGAGCCGGTTTCTCAAACTTACCTACCCCACCTTTAACAGGAAGTGGAAATTCCTGGTTTCCGGAGTTTATATGAGAAAATGGCTAATGCTAACAGTCTCCTCATATTGAGAGGCCTGCTCAGACAATTCTTAGCAAGTTAGTAAAGCCCAAAACATGTCAAGATGAATCCCTTAAACCACTCTCTCAGGATTCTCAGTTGGCCAAGGTAAATATTCAATTCGTAATGGTTCAACTGTCAAAGCTGATGACAGAAATGAAAACCTTTTCATTTATGTAATAAAAATGAAAGGAAATTGCTTTAAAGCTGCACGTAATAAGGTTGATTGATTGTCTAACACTACTTGAGTGTCTGAATGGTCATGATGGACACCAAGGTTATTGTAAAACAGCCTGATCGCTCACTAACCTTTGAGGCGTCCATAGCAAACAGATGTTTCTCTGTAGGTTTGTCTTTGCTCTGTCCCACTACCAGCATGAAGTCCTGTTTGCAGCCGCCAAACGTCACCAAGGTCTTATAAGGGTGGGACACCAGGAGCTTCTGAAGACACAGATGTACAGATATTCATGTTATGACAGGATTAGAAAGAAAGATAGAAAGAAAGATAGAAAACAATGTGGAAACTAAATCCATGTGGAGATTAGGAGCGCTACATAACACAACATTATTACCCCAATTCCTGGAAGAATCTTTATATGGCATCAATGGCATCTCCACCATGACATCAAGTCAAATTCCTAGTATGTGCGAACCTACCTGGCAATAAACCTGTTTCTGACTCTGATATATGACCTACATATCACTTTCTGTAAGCAAGCTTACTCATCAGCATTTTTGCTGTGCTTTAGTCCAACTTATGTGACAAAATCATGTTAAGCTAGTGCTTAACTGTGCTAATAGAATCAAGTTATTTTAGACCACAGGTACCCCATGGAAAATGACTGACTCTTAAAGTGATAGTTTTGATTTTTTTGGAGTAAGATTGTATGATGAACTTATCAATAGACAGTGTATTATTACATAAATGGCGGTTGACACACCCTCATTCTGCAGAAGCTAACAGGAGCTAGCATACATTAGCTACGCAATGCTGTACTTCTGTGGACGGGGGCAGTGGCAAAGTACAAATTAACCACCTAGAAATGTTAACTGCTTAAGTCGTGAGACAGCACTTTCCAAATGGGAACTAAAGCATTTGGCTATGCTCTCTTTAGAACCACCAGACTCCATTAACAAAACCATGAATTTTACCGCAGGAAACATAGAAGGTACTGTTCTACTACTGCCTCAATGGGTTAGTTAGTTTGTTGTTACTTCCTTAAAACACCAAAGTGACCTATTGTGTTTGGCTAAGTAATTATAATGGAATCTGGTGGCTTTGGACGAAGCATAAAAAAAGACTTTAGTTCTTGTAAACATAGCCTAGACTTGAACTGATTAATTTATGGCTAAAATACATTTAGCTGCTATCCCCTTTCACAATATATATGTTTGTACTCCTGCTTGTTTCTCTATGGTCAGGCTACCTTGTGTAACCTCACTTCAAAATTGTAGCTTCAAGACCCAACACATCATACAGGTTTCCTGTTTAGATTCTCTTTATCAGGGGATCAAGTAGACATCATGCCAAGCAGTTGCAGGGAGATAAAACAGAGACGCTTACGACAGAGTTGTGCTCCAGAACGCTGATACCATCTTCATGCACCGCCAGCCAAACACGAGCCCCCTGCTCCGGAGAGGGAGGGATGGCCTTAAAACAGAGAGAAACATGAAGAGAGTTCAAATGTCATAATAAACTACAAGGTGATACAAACAGTATGCAATGCCACATGTAGATACGCTGTGTGATTAAGATGAGTCATCAGCAGTCTGTAGAGTTTAACACTTTTTTATCAATCTGAATCTTATGTTATAAATCTTATGTTATAAATGTTTAAATAAAAATGGATTAATTAAATTACGATAACTTTATCTTACCTACAGTATACATAGAAGATGATATGTAGATGCATACTGCTTTTAATGGATATTAATCCAATTTAGTTACTTATTTATTACATTATCTTATTTAATTATTTATTTTATTATAATGGTATAAGGTCATTGCAATATAGAATACAATAATGTATAAATAAATAAATAAATAAATATAATGATTAAAAATGTACTTCTTTCGGTGTTTGAGAAAGTATTCTTTAAATTCAAATAAAAACCTAATCAAAGATGGTTTTTTTTTGCACTAATGTATGTTAAATTGTCAGTATTTAATCAATAATGTACGATGACAATTTACACTCAATCTGGTTATGATTAATTGTACGTAATATATTATATTTGAATCTTAACCAGAAAGCAACTGAGTGTAAACAATGGTAAAAACAAAAGTTTTCCCAGATTCTGGTTCATCAAACTAAAACACTTTGATGTGTACTTATCAGTACCTAGGCTTTTTCCAGGAGTACTTTTGAATGTAATACACTGAACAACACACCACAGTCACAGCTGTGACATCACTGTATGTTTAATCAGTGACCAACACATTAGAAACCCCCTGTATGAATAGTGGAATCAGTTTTGCTGATGCGGTTTCAGCGCAAGGCTAATTTACCTTCATTTGATATTGCTTGGGTCGTGCACAATATCAGTTTACTTAACACATATGTTAGCCTTTATTTGTTCATCACACTCATGACATGGGTTAAAGAAAAGAATGAGGAGCAGAGAGTAGAAGAGAGAGAGCGAGAAGGAGAGAGAGAGAGAGAGTAGAGCGGAGTAGAGCGAGAGAGAGCGAGAGGAGAGCGACGATCGCGCGAGAGATCGCGAGCAGAGAGCGAGCGCGAGCGAGATCGATAGCGCGAGGTCGATCTCTCTCTCTCGCTTCTCTCTCTCTGCTCGCTCTTCTCTCTCTCTCTCTCTCTCCCTCTCTCTCTCTCTCTCTCTCTCTCTCTCTCTCTCTCTCTCTCTCTCTTCTCTCTCTCTCTCTCTCTCTCACCTCTGCTTCAAATAACATGGCTCCAAAGAAAGGCCACTTCCTGGCAACGGTCAGGTAGATCCTGACACACTCCGATGGACTTCGCCCCCTGAGGGAGGCCCAGCGGGCGGAGAGGCGCTGCAGCAGTTGTCTGACGGGGGGGGGGGGGACAGACATCCATTATACTCTTTTGTTTGCCACAACCTGATTTTGGAGAAGGTGTTGCTGCATAACTTGAAATGGCTCTATTGTCCCTTTGTTGGAGCTTTAGGACCTCCTTTGTGCTGATATGGCATGTTTATTTACACAGCACCTTATCAAACACTGAGGTCATTTCAAGTGTATTATAAGCTAAACTAAATAAATATAAGTTTAAATAAATGGAAGTTACGTTTCTACAGTACAAGACAGGTTTAAAATCGAATTAAAAATACCATTAAAGCTATATTTAAAAAAAAAAAAAAACGTTTCACAGAGATGTGATTGGACTGGATCAGTATGAATGATGCTAACATATATAACAAATACTGTATGTTCATAGCATCAGGAAATTGAGGGGTTAAATGCCAGGGAGCAACTTCCCTATAAAGAAAACCTACACTTTATGGCACTTTATGAGATTATGAAAATGTGAAGTGAGCATACAAAAGAGGTAATATTTAAAGTATATTGCCAACGACACAATAAATAAAAGTGGGAAGTATGTGTCGTTTTCAGTGTGATCTGGTACCTGAGCTGCTCTTCAGATGTGGTTCTCCGGTAATGTTTGGGATAAAATCTGTCCAGAACCTGTTTGAGGGTTTGGTTGGACTTGGTCTGTGCTGATCCAGGAGCAGAGAAGGGACGCTCAAAGTCTCCAAACTCCACCTGAACATAGACACAAACATGTTACACAAAGTACAAATTAAAAAGAAAATGTTCAGGAGAAATTAATTACAAATGTTTTAGAACTTCCAGACCTGGGCCAGCAGGGCAGCCATTTCCAGAGCCAGTTCCTTGTTGACAGGGAAGTGTCCCGCTACAATAGCCTCATTTGTCTGATAGGCCAGCAGCAACCTCTCCCTCTCTGACTCCCCCCTGACCTGGAGAGAGGAGTACAGCCTGCGAGTGGGGTCAAGACAGAAATGGTAAAAGTGAAAAAAGATGGAGAGAAATGAACAAATACAGACATGTATTTTCAAATGTTTGTGTTGTATTTCTCAAGACTAAATCAATGTAGTCTTCACTCCAGTTGAGCTTTTAAAAGATTGCATTCAATTAAAAATACAATAATGTTGAAATACGTTCTGATGTATTCCCTTAAAGTGAACCCTAATCAAAACTCCTAGATATCTTGAGGCTGAATCTACACATAGATTTGTTGAACCTGGTGTAAGCATAGATGTATGTAAGTGTTTTTCTTGGTAGGGTCCTTCTCTACTACCTCATTCACACCAACGGTGTTTCAGGGCCGGTTCGGAGCTGGAGCTTGAAAAGCACCGGGTTTTCCTGTTCACACCGCAGCGGAGCAGCCTCTTAGCTCTGGAATCCGGTTCATTTCGAGCACCAAAAAATTGTCCGGCTAGAGCAAAAGCACCGCATATGTCACGCTTACGTCGGGGCGGGGGCAGGGGCAGGGGCAGGGGCAGGGGCAGGGGCAGGGGCAGGGGCAGGGGCAGGGGCAGGGGCAGGGGCAGGGGCAGGGGCAGGGGCAGGGGCAGGGGCAGGGGCAGGGGCAGGGGCAGGGGCAGGGGCAGGGGCAGGGGCAGGGGCAGGGGCAGGGGCAGGGGCAGGGGCAGGGGCAGGGGCAGGGGCAGGGGCGGGATCAACTCCTGAACAACAACAGAAAGCCCGCGTTTTATCCAGCTTGTACACAACGATGGAGAAACTTAACAAGCAGCAGTGGTCCACTGAAGAGACCAGCTACCTACTGGGAATCTGGTCTTCCGAAGAGGTACAGAGGAAGCTGGAGCACAATCGGCCATTGTTGTTGTTGTCGGTGTCAGCTGTGAGGGGTTTCCGCGCGGTTTGGCTTTATGAAGCAGGCACGCAAACGGTTACGTCATGACGCAAACGATGACGCAATGACGCAGCACCAGTCGGACTCTGGGCAGTGTGAAAAGAGCCGGAGCTAAACCGAAGAACCGGTTCTGAACCTGAAAAGCACAGAGCTTGAACCGGAGTTGCGTTGGTGTGAATGAGGTATACCTGTTCTTGTAGGTGAGGCGGACAGTCCTGGTGTTTTCAGACTTGCCAGTGTGCTGCTCCTTCGAAGCTTGCTCCCATTTGGAGATAATGTCACAAATCTGCAGGAGATATAAAAACGCTTTGATTGGACCTTTCTTAACAAAATGGTGTTGACTTGTTTGCTTACATTATTTAAAATATTTTCAGAAATGTTCAAACCTACAGAAATGTAATTTCATTTGGTCGCCTGTAATGGCAACATATTCTCTTTGTACATTTGTGGTTGAGTTTGTTTGTTGCTGTTTAGCCAAGTGATATATTTTAGTCATTGGCTGTCTGGATCTTAAAGTATCAGAAACACAAGCTGAGGAAACATTAGCGGCAACCAAATTGGAAAAACACAGATTTGAATGTGAAAAGGCTCAATTCAGCATTTTACCAATTGAATCATTTGGTCTGATTGTTTAGAAGAGGAGCAGACCACTGTGGATAATACGGCTGACGTTAAAAACCTCGTAAGTATCTGGATTTTAAGTTATCAGAGGAAAAGCTGAGGATGCATTAGTTGCAACTCCGCTCAAATCACCTCGAGGAAGTCAGATTTGAGTCAAACAGCGAAGTAGAGATACAGATGTTTATCGTTAATCTGTTCAATTGTTTTCAATCCACGTATAAAAACGAAACAGTTCCTCTGAACACATGAATGGAAGCAGCACCTTGATGGCTCCCTGCAAACAGTGCTCCAGCTCTCGTCCCGTCGGGTCGTCAGTGAACAGGCTGAACCCAGACAGACCCGTCTTCCTGATGCCGGTGTCCTGGTTCAGGCGACACTGGAACTCGTCCACTGTGGTCGAAGCATCGAAGCTCACCACCTGAGGAAATGCAAGGAAATACATCACATCAGTTATTATCATGATCATGATCTGTCTGACCATATGATCAATGTCATGCTAAAGTATTTTAGTCTAAACATTTAAATGTTTGTTTTGTGTCCAACGTTATCTGTAAGAGGTACATGCAAAAAATCCTTGATTCCTGTCATGCATGTATTTGTTTTCGACTTTTCTTAATTCTGCCCCTTTGGGACCTTTTAAAATTGTCTTTGAAACAATATACATACAATACTACTTGAATACTACAATATTTTCTTTGTTATCGTATTAAAATCAGACGTCCCAACATGGTTTCCATGGGTCGGTAAACAGTCATAAATCCAATTATTTTAGCCCAAAAAAAAAATCGAAATGATCTTTAATGTAATTGTATAGGTATGAATTGATCCTCTACTGTTGAGTTAACTGCAAACTATCAGAATGGTTGTATACATTTCTTTGCTTTTGATCAAAATACCATTGCCAAAATATTTGGTTATTTACATTTTTCCTGACTGACATGTGATTGTAGGTAACACATGCAGGCAGATCAGTTTGGTTTTGACCACTGTTGAAACCATTAGGTTTAAGGCTTTCCATAGGTATATTGAGGATCTTTATGAAAACATCAAAAAAAAGAATTCAGACAGCAAAGGTGTTCGCATCAAAACATCTACGCTTTCATGTATTGTCTAAACCTAATATATATTTTTGACTGGTTAATATTACTATTGTATGCCAATACGTGTGTGTTGTGGAAGTCATTAGTACTTGTTTTATCATAAAATCTCATACAAGTATTGAAGTTATTTTTATGTGGCCTTAAATGTCTTATATTAAACTGGCTGGAACCGACAGTGTGAAGCAGATTTTTTTTGTATCATCAAAAGCTGATACTAGGCTGTGATGTAATCAGTTTATCCAAGCATACACAGAGAGGGAGCAAGGAGTGACAAAAGCAAACACGCCCTGAAGAGAAACCTGACTAAGAGCGTACAGGTGGATGATGGTGGGGGGGGGGGTGTCAGTGAAGCATGTGAGCGATGCATGACACACTGAATCTTCACGATGGTATGTTAGGGATGGGGATATGAGTATCTGGCAGCATGATTCCACTTGTTGGCTTCCCTGTGGTTGTTATGGTCATGTGTCTTCCTGTGTGATCTGCTCCTACCTGGTAGGTGTTATTGAGGAAGTGAACAGGCACGCTGAAGGGCAGGGAGTGATGGTAGGGGTTCCTCAGGAGGATGGACAGGATCTCCATTCGGGACGGCCTGGCCTGCCTCTCTCCCTTCTGCTGCGTCCTCTCCATGGAGCGCTGGCAGTACACAGCATACTTCCCCGCCTCCGTCCTGAGGAGACAGTGGTTTATGCTGTGACTGCTTTTACAACGTAAAAGTACAATTACAAATGTTTGTGCTAATATCCCAGTTTTTTGTTTTTTTAAATGTGAACAATGAAAGCTGGTATTCTTTTCTTAGTGTATAGGAAGAAGATGTCAAATTTAAGACGAGAGATTGTATTAATACAATTAATCATGGAGCCCAAGTTTCTTTATTTGTATTGGTTGTTATAAAAAAAAATAACATAAGAAAAACTTAGCAAATCTATTTAAATGATAGCACTTTCATGGAAACATTTAAATAGACCAATTATTGGTAAATGTTATATTTTTTTATTAATATTTTATTTGTTTACTTTTTATTCTATTTTCAATGTGTTCTTATTTGATTTGATTTGTTTGTTTTGAATATTTGATTTCTATAATGATACTATATATACTGTTATTCATTAGGTGTGTGTTTTTATTTGCATAATTGGTTGCGTGCCCCTTTGTTTGAGTCAACTTTAAGATCTGACATAAATGACATCAAACATAAATAACTATATTTCACTTAGCTGAGATCAAGTTGTGGTTTAGCACTCCAAAGGCTTCCACAGAAGTGAGTTACTAATTATAAAAGGCTGAAAAGTCTTTAACCAACAAAGAACAAAGAACAAAAGGCACCTCATTTGATAATCGATTCATTTGAATGTTTGTCAAGCTTGAAACTATCTTAAGTTCAACATAGGAATTTATGCTCAGTGTGCAAATAAAGTCTTTAAAGGCATAACGAGAGAAATGTGAAGAACTGGGCTCAATAAGTCAATCAAATAATGAGGACGTATTGGACAGATTCAATTCTAAGCCTTAATATAAATAAAAACATGTAGGTTAACATTTTTAATACAAGATTCAAGACTTTATGATATTTATCTATTATTATTTTTTGGGTGTTGTTAAATAATAATAGTAATGATCATAACAATAATAATAATAACAATCATTTACACTTGTACAAGCATACAACAAATATGTGCAGAAATACAAAATAAAAGATGCATTGAAATAATTATAATTACATTACATTTAATTTAGCTGACGCTTTTATCCAAAGCGACTTACAATAAGTGCATTCGACCAAGAAGATACAAACGTGAAGAAAACAGAATCATATAAGTACATCAGGTTTCATAGAGTCAAACATTTCAAGTGCTACTCAACGAGCTTTAGATAAGCCAGCCCTTTATCAGTATATAAGTGCTTTGTTAGTAATTATATCGCTCGAAGTGGAGTCGAAAGAGATGAGTTTTCAGTTTGCGCCGGAAGATGCGTAAGCTTTCTGCTGTCCTGATTTCAATGGGGAGCTCATTCCACCATCTTGGAGGAATGAGCTCCCCATTGACATCAGGACAGCAGACAACTTAATAATAACATAATAGAACCACTTTTGACAGAAAGCAGAGTTGCTGCAGAGTCATGAGTTGGGGTTAAGGAGTTTCACAGGGAAGCTTGTAGAGGTGTGTTTAATGGGCTTATTTATTGTTGTCCCTTATTAAATGCTGTGCCTTGGTTCCTCGTGCTAACGTTCGGCCCCTGGTTGCTTCCTCACCTGGAGTCTCCGTGTCTCTTCAGGTGAACCTGCAGCAGCCAGAGGAACGGATGCTGAGGCAGAAACAGTCCCACACACAGAGCCAGAAACTGCCATCCCTGAAGAACAACAGGCAAACACACACTCTGTAAACAAACATGACAGAAACTTTACAGAAGCATATGTGCAGAAGGTGACAGAAAACTGCAGCTTCTTCTTTTTGATACAGTTTAATGTGGAACTATGTGCCTCAAGTGTAGCTAGCTTCAGTGAATGATCAGACAATAGGCTCCTTTTTCTTTACTCTCACAAAGGAGCTGACTGATGACTCAGCCTGTTGTCTGTTATCTCAGACATAATCATTCTTTGGAATAGTACAACTCTTCCAGACAGGTAAACATACTGTCTGCCCTCTGCTGGTGCTGCAGGTAGATCTGGTTATTGGTTACAAAACATCACATGATTAAAGGAGGGGTTCTGCTCTTCAAAATGGTTTATTTTTATTTAAAGAAAATATTTTAAATACCAAAAGTAAAAGTACTTATTATGTAGTATGACTCATGCCAGAATCATGTATGTTACATTATTGCATTATAATTATTAACATGCATTACATGTGTTTAAATGTGCAAATCGGTGGGTGTGGTTTATTTGAATTACTTTATATACTGCCAGGTTACTGGGTACTGGGGTTGTATGTTACAATGTAATAGTTATTTAAAAGTGTGTATTAATAACCTAATCTGCAAAGTAGCTAATATCTAATGCTGTAAAATGAATATAGTGGAATAAAAAACAAAATGTGCCTACAAAATATATTCGGGTAAAAGTATGATGTAGACTATGGTATATTAAGTACAGTACTTAAGTAAATGCACTTTCCACAACTGGTTATAATCATTGTTATAAAGCATTATTTATATGAATAGTAATATAAACATAACTATACCTTGCTACAAGCAGATTATAACACATAGTTGGTTTGTCTATAATCCACTATGGACATTAGTGTCATAGATTTACTCACCAATGAATCCAACCTTTTCATACTGTGAAATGTCAGCATTTCCTTTTTACAACTCATGTAACTGCTTCCCCCTTGTGGTGAGAGTGCTTACCTGCAGGGGTGCTGGGTGGCCGTGTGGCTGCCTCCTGCAGGTCTGCTTTATGAGCTGGCAGAAGAACTCGTTCTGCAGCTCGGGGTGGGCCAGACACACCTGCAATGCACTCTGGGCCAGCGAGACATGGTAGTCGATGGCCGGAGCATCGATGGCCACGTTGATGAAGAGCTGACACGTCTGAAGAGAGACAATAGGTGGAGTTTAAAGACAAACGCAGGAAAAATAGGGACAAAACGGCATTGATTACAGTGTGTGTGTGTGTGTGTGCGTGTGCATGTGTGTGTGTACCTTGAAGAGTTTAACAGCCTCTGTCTGCAGAGCTTGTGAAGGCAGCGTGGTCAGAGGAGATAACAGAGCTTCCTTACTGAAACACAACATGGGGTGTCTCCAGAGCTGAGAGTCTGAAGGCAGAGAAACGGAATGCTAGCTGAATGCAATCATACAAATGGATACATACAACGTGCTCCATACACAAATTCAAAAGAAAGACAAATATATGTTTCACTACCTTTTTTAACATATTATTTTGCATGGTAAATGTACTGATTCCACCCATTTCATGTTGATGCTGATCATCATCATCATCATCATCATCATCATCATCATCATCATCATCATCATCATCATCATCATCATCATCATCATCATCATCATCATCATCATCATCATCCAAATCTTCCATGGATCATCACCCATCAGGGGAATATTGCTGCAGATGTGGTCAGCTGATATTTAATCAGAATGAAAGAAAATAATTGGTGGTCACTTCTTACTTGAATCTCCATCCAGCTGGAAGAGTTTTCCCACCAGTTGTTCGAACTCCGTGCCGACTTTCCCCACGGTGGTGCCCGCTGCCATAGAGAGATGGTACAGCCACGCATCCTACGGAGGCACACACGTTAACGTCAGTGATAATGGGAATGAACACCAAAAGGCATGTTTTGTATTTTTATTGAGAACAGAATTAGTCCTGATTGACACATTTTCAGATTGAATTATAAAGAATTAAGGATCCTAAATGAACCGTTCTCCATAACATTTATAATAGCATTTACACGCAAATAAACACATATAAAAATAGTCATCATTCATCATGGAATACCTTACCAAGAATTATCATTCTTATTCTTCCTATTATTATTTGTATATTATATATTATTCCGTTAGTATTTTCTTTATTTCACATGATATATTTTAGCATTAACTGAGTTTTTATTGTTATTTGTATAAAGCACTTTATACGAGCTACTTTGTTATTATTATTAAAACATTTTTGGAATACCTTTGACGTGAACAATGTGATGCACCAGAGGTCATTTCGTTTTTAATTGTTTATGATAAAAAACAACAACATTGCATATAGAAACTCCAATTCAAGCAATAGAAAAGACAAAAGAAAGAAAGGAAAACTGTTTGAATGGCCTCTTAAGGCAAATGTGATCTGTCATATTGGGCCACAGTATATAAATGAAATTGACTCGACTTCCCATAGAACGAGCGGGACAGATCATGTGATCAAAAATAACAAAAAAAGCTTTTATAAGTGCTGCTGACCTTCTGGTGGCGGGACTCGATGAGCAGGTAGGTGGGCCCCTGCTCCTGAGGGTGGATGGTGATGGTAAAAGGTGCCGCCTGTAAGCCCCGCCCACATGCCTTCAGTTCGTCATCAGAATCTCTTGACCTGTCCACCTCCTCCACCTTGGCCTCCCACAGCTTGATCTGACCCAGGGGGAACTGGGAAAATACACATGATCCCACACACACACTGAAATAACAGGGACCACCTTTTGTCCTATAATGATGAAGCTCCTTTCTGCTGAGTCATTTACAATTTAATATAGATTTTTTTGTCCAACCACTTATGGAAAACCTCAAAAATATGACCCTGACGAGCGTTACAGCTTTGTCTCTACATCCCGTACAGAGATTTCATGTTGAATCATACCTTGTCCTCTTGGCTGCGGAAGTAGTACAAGGTTTTTCCAATCAGAGCACACCAAACCCGCTTGGAGTAGCCGTGCTTCACCTGCAATGGAGCAAACTAATGTCACTAATCACAGCACACTGACAACCTGATATGAAAGATATGGGGGAAATCAGAAGTGATCAAAATCATTGTTTTGCAAGTCTTTGCATTCAAGGCCAGATTAAAGTCCCAAATCTAGATTATCTTAAGTGTAGACAGGCAGGTCTTGATTGAAGTCCAAAACGTATCATGAGCAAGTCCTAAACAAGTCATATTGCGCTCTTCACCAATTTCTGCATATTGTGTTTTTGGAAAAGTTGCCATGGTTCTTTCCTGCCTCTTGATTGGACGCTTTTGACTCATTTAAACAAACTGAGTGTTGATTTAGCGATGAAGGAGTGAAGGAAATCAAGGGAGATGAATTGATTGATGGCAAACTGTTTAAATAACATACTCTGTAAGTATTGGGCTTCGGCGAAGGTATCAAGTATTTTCAAATGGAAAGGATCAAGTCTAAATGACTTGGCAAGTCCTCAGTGTAAAGTGGAGATTCATGTATTTCTTTGAGTTTATCAAGTGAAGTTTAAAGTCCAATGTGTGATTTGAAATCATGTGACTCAAGTCAACATCTCTGCTATACATGCATTATATGAAGAGATTTGAAGTCTAATTTTGAGGTCATGGTACCTTGATGAGCAGTCCCTTCATGCCGGGCCGGATGTCGGGCTGAGTGAAGAGAGGACTGGCAGCCTTCAGCCGGAGCACGCTCTGCAGCACCCGCAGCCACTCCTCCAGCAGGTTGGGGGAGTCCGCCTTCAGGTAGTACACACGCTTACCTGTCACCACCTGCAGGACACAGGACAGACCCCCGTGGAGGGGTGAGGACGAGGAATGGAATCTGTTTTAATTGAGTTGGGATTTGGAGTAGATTTTCCATAGTGGACAAACATACCTGGAGGACTTGTTTACCGTCACCACGGGCGATGCTGCTGGTGGCGTTGACCTCGATCTGACCCTGACGTTTCCTGATCACATCACTCTATGAGAGAGGAATAGAGTTTTACAGCGGCACATTGAAGAAATACAGACATACACGGTTGCCCATAAAGTTGGAATAATTTAGTTTTGAGACATATTGCTGTTTCTATTCCTATTTACACACACAATCATGAGAAGAGGTCAAACGTGTTTTATTCAAACTTTAAGGGCAACAGCGTATATCCACTTAGCTCGGTGAATACAAATCATCTGTCAACTACACAATGGATTTATACTAATCAAACCACATTTAATAACAACTATTTGAAGCTATACCATAGAGATGAATGCAGTGGAGTAATGATGAACATACACGTACTTAAGTAAACAAAAAAAACAACATTTAAGAAAAAAAAGCACTTAGATTCAAATAATATGACTTTGACAATAATTGTGGTAAGAAACCCACAGGTGAGTTGTAGTAGAGCAGCTCTCCGTCTTTGAGGACAAACCAGCGTCTCTTCCAAGTCTTCTTCCACGTCTTCACCATTTTTAACAGGTAGCCGGACTTCTCCATTGGTTCCTACAGAGACACAACACTGTTCAGTTTGATGTAGTACAGTCAAGTACAATACAAACTACCTGCCGCAATTTCCACTAATTTAAAAATGAAAAAAATTCATTAAAAGGACGTTGCCAAATATATATAATAAAATACTTTATTGTCGAAGAAACCTGGTAGAACCTGGTAGTGTGTTATTGCATGTTACCAAAGGAGCTTGAAATCTTAATTTAAGATATTTCTGAGGGACTCACACTCTTGCCGTTGTCACTGACTGTGGAGCAGGTCTTGGGGAGTTTCTGCTCCGGTTCAGAGCACTCTGTGTCGGTGGAGTAGGCGTCAGGGGGGATGGCGTAGTCGCTCTCTGATGTCATGGAAGACATGGACACAGCTGGAGGAAAGGAAAAAGTGAACAAGTTGATGAGATGGTACTATTCCCAGAGTGAAAGTATTAAACAAGCTTCCAGCATGTGTGTGTGGTCCGTACCTCTCTTGAGCGAGCGCGGGCTGCCGGGGCTGCTGTCCTTGCGGGAGCTGGAGGAGGTGTGAGAGCTGCAGATGGAGGCGTCCTCCTCTCCGGAGCTGGACGACTCCTCGGAGCTGGACGACTCGTCTGAGAACGGACTGCTGCTCAGCAGGGTGGCTTTCTGCAGGACGGTGGGGCAGCGATCAAGCTATAATACTGTATATCAAAATCTTAACCTCACTACGCAGACTGTAACACCACTGTTGAGAGAAAACTGTGCTGAGTGCAATATTTACAAGCTATTAATATTGTAACTGGCTGCTATTTCATTGATTTCTTTTTTTAAATGCAACTACTTTTTTTAACCATAGATGTGTACTTGATTTGATTGTATTAATGTGTGCTTGTCTCTTTATATCATATATTACTCTACTGCTCTACTCAACTTATTTTGCATTTTATCTGCACTGTCCCTTCACTGTCAAATTGTAAATTTCCCTGCTGTAAGATGTATATAAATTGGGGTTAAGGTTTAGATTAGGTTTAGGTCAGATATAATGCCTAAATGTTCGCTGAATGCATTACAGTCTTATCTTGATGTAAAGCTGGACTCACCCCCTTCAGAGTCGTATACACTGGAGTAGTCATGTTTCTGTAGATGAGGGAGGTGTACATTACAAAGGCAGGATAGGAGGACTTGAGTGAGTGGTCTGCAACACAGATCACAGATCAGTTAGCCAGAGTCTGAGTTTGAGCGAGAAGGTGCACGTCTCCCCCCCCCATCTTACCTTTGCTAGCAGGGTCTGTGCAGGAAGTCTCAGACAGCCGGATCCCTGACTTGGCCACAGCATATATACGACTCTCCTGTGGACGGAAACTGGCAGGATTAACGGTCAATAGTCAAAAAGAAACACTGACACTTCTACAGGGGCTGCAGCAGATGGCACTGTGAGTACTAGAAATACAAATAGTAGCGCATCGACCTGAAATGACAGGCATGTGATGAAAACCATGTAGCCCCTAATAATAATATTATTTTCTGAACATGTTTACTAGATTTGAACCTAGCCTGATCAAAAACGTAATAAAGACCCACGAATGGAACAACTTTCGCACAACTAATTCATTTTCATTAAAGAGCTTAATACTGGTGTACACTTTTATAACCCATAATGAGATCAAATAAAACATAATATCCTATTCACCAAAATAATAATAATTACTTTTTTTTAAATGCGGGAGAACCTTTGAAAATGATGCGATAGATATTGTCAGTAAACACTGCAGTATCCACTAACAGGAAGCTGGGATAGTAAATAGTATAATGTTGATTATCATTTTTTATATCTAAAACCAGAAAGTTTACATTGGAAGAATGGATGACTAAGATTTTGTTTCTGTTGACATTAAATGAAATGTGTTTGCATGTGTACATTGAATATGTTAATGTGGGTTAGTGTTTTTTTGCGTGAAGTGGGAAATAGGCTTTAGATGATCTTACCCAGGAGGGCAGCCTGTGTAGCGGGGGTGTGGGGGGCACGGAGCTGTCACTGTCCTGCCCTGTGATGACCTCTGATTCAGGAGGACCAGGCATGTCCCTTCCGGTCTCCATGCCGACCTCCTGTTCCTGGTCGAGGTCTGTTTCCTGCGGGCGGAGGGGGCGCAGCATGCTGAGGGCGTTACGCGTGTGTCCGTGTGCGGCCTCACTGCTGATGGGGGGCTGGCTCAGGTGTTTCTTAGCCAGAGCTACGTTCATCAGCCCGAATCCTGCCGGGGTCCGCAGGCGGGGCTGTTTGGGGGAGGCAGGGTTGTCCCTCGGGTCCTGAGGCGGGTTTGGACGTTTGGGGGTGAGGGCGGGCGTGAGGATGGGGCTGGGGGTGTTGGGCTCGCTGGAAGACGATGAGGAGTCGAGTCTCTGTGATTGAAAGCGTTTGTTTAGCTCCTCAGAGGTGTAGTCTTCCAGTTTGCCCCCCTCCTCCTCCTCCTTACACCCTCCCAGGGGCCCATCCGAGGACCCCAGCAGGCTGAAGCGGGGCCGCTCGGCGCGCTGCATGTCATCGTCGAACAGAGAGCTGCTGTCGTCCGAGGCAGTCAGGTAGGTCTCACTGCCGGGGCGGCTGAACTCCACACCGCCCAAGCCCCCCCCTCCCCCCTCTGAGACGGCGCTGGAGAGCACGGAGGAAACGCAGCGGGACTCGGGGCCACGAGCGGGATCTCCCAGGCTCTCAGACGCACTCTCGTCCCCCAGATGTCCGGTGGGGTCAGGGGTCTGGATGTCACCGTTTGTCCCTGAGGAGGCTGCCTGCTCACCGCTAATCTCTGTCAAAGCAAACACGAGGAAATATATCTAATAACTGTTAAGAATATTTGTTTTAATTAAGGTGGGGATCATGAAACCCCCTCAGTGTTGATTTATAATAAGTAAACGTCTTATAGCAGAATTCACATACATGATTAAATCTAAACTTAATTTGCTCTGTATATCTTTGCCTTTCATTATTGATTTTAAAGTTATTTTCTACTTGTTTATGAGGTTCTTAATGGTTTGGGACCGGCCTACATTACTAATTATTTAATAACCCTTCACAGCCTCTAAGATCTTATGCTGCAGTCTTTGTAAATACAAACTATTACACCAATAACAAAATCATGTACGACAATGTACTAAAACTATTGAGAAAAAAGTCCAGTTGTATAGAAGTCTAGGAAAAATGACCTGCCTTCTCACTTCATTTATCACTGTATATAACATTTTCTTTGTATGTTTTTCAATTATTTGTATTATAGCTGGTCTCATTCAGAGTAAGATACTGTAGATAAAGTAAGTGATAAAGCAGTGAATGATTCATGGCTACCTTGTGAGAGGTAACCTGTCGTTGCTAGGTTGTGTTTTCATCTTAAAACCATTTGTTGGGCATTTCAAAATGTATTGTTCCGCAGTCAGTTGTATTAATCTAGGCCCTTTGTGTTACTTTTGGCTCTAAAAAATAAGATAGAGAACTTGAGTCTTCAAAACCTTATGAATACGTCCAATTTTTAAATAAAGTTCATGGAAGGAAAGGTGTTTATTTGTCCATGAATGCTCTGTTTCTCTAGTCAAATAAGACCAACAACTACCAGTAATTAATTAAAGTCAGCGGTCAAATAGTATGGTTGTGGGAACAATTGCCCAAGACACCATGAATGTAACCAAATGGCTAAAAAAGTCTTCTGAGTCTCTTCGTTAATCCTCTATAAGTGCCTACTATTGCTCATCTCGTTCTGTGAATCTGCAGGGACTTACCGTTTTCTTCTATGTCCTCAGCCTCTCCCTGGGTGCTGAGGGTCCTCTGGCAGGGTGCTGGTCCAGTAAGGACCTGGGGGCTCTTCCCCCTCACCTGGAAACAGCCGAACGTCAGGCTGCTGAGCCGCTGGGCCTCCCCTTGTCTGCATAGGACTCCTCTTCCCGCACCACACTTCTGCTCAAAGGCTGCACACACAAACATGTTTCAACAGTATTAGTATGCAAACATGTGTGTGTGTGTGTGTGTGTGTGTGTGTGTGTGTGTGTGTGTGTGTGTGTGTATGCACATGCATGCACTTGATACTTGCCATAGTGTCATCATGAAGGTGTTATCAAGCTAGATTAGATATATTCCAACAGGACAGAAAAGGCTCTTACCCTGCACTTGTTTCTGTAACTCCAGAATCTGAGCCTCCTGTTGCTTGTTGGTTTCTCTTAGCGCAGCGTTCTCCACCTCAAACTGAAAAAAATATCTTTCAACATAAAAGCACATCCCAACACACATGTTGCCACTTTTCCATCCAACTTTATATCTAAAGCTATAATTTAATTTACCTCTGATAACTTCAGCATCACCCATTCCTTGATTCTGGCTGCTTTCTCCTCCACTGTTTTGGAGTCCTGAAGTCGGATCTGTTTCTGTTTCGGAAATATAGGAAAGGAGGCAAAATCATGAGTTGACCTTGGTACTCAGAATATTTGAGACACAAACAATGGGTAGAGAGACTTTGAAGAGAGAACATAAAAGTCACTCATGGTATTTCAAGCAAATGGATTGTGTTAATGCAGATTAAATAGTGGGAAATGCCAAATTAAACCCAAAAACTGACATTAAAGGTGGGGTAGGTAATTTTGGAGAAACCAGCTCGAGTACGCTAGAATTTGAAAATACACAGCCGGAAAAAATCTTCCACTTCCTCACAGAGCCCCTCCTCCAACACACACGAACGCGCACATGACCAATGAGGGCACGAGATACATTTGTGCACGGATGGAAGGCTGACAGGCAGGTAGGCCATCCAGTTACTTTAGCCGGGCCGGCTAAAATGATTGGTCGTGCTTTTTACAGAACTACCGAGTACTACGGCTTCCACAGATGACATTTTTTTATGGATTTTTTGTCAAAGCACTTAAAATGTTCATTGCTATCGGGATGTTAAGTACGACGGAGTATTAAGGCCAGAGATTTCGAGAATAAAGTCGTAATAATACGAGAATAAAGTCATAGTTAAGAGAATAAAGTCGTAATAATACGAGAATAAAGTCATAGTTACGAGAATAAAGTCGTAATATTACGAGAATAAAGTCGTAATGTTACGAGAATAAAGTCGTATGACTTTATTCTCGTAACATTACGACTTTAATTTCGTAATTTTACGAGATTAAAATCGTAGTTTCATAAGTGACTTGAGAAGGAGACAACAGCAACGTCCTGCAATACAATGAGGAATGTGGAGCATCTTGTGAAGCAGTACTTTAGTTTAGGTTTCTCAAATAACTAAATACTTAATCTGTTAGCACATCAGCATCAGATTATCATAAGTATTAGAACTTTGAAAAGGTTGTTGTTGAACTGTTGTGAACGATTCATCTCTTAAATGCTCTTATGCTGACGTCATATCTGTCAATCTGTCAATCACACAGCTGGTTCTAATAAAGGGATCATTGCTGGCTCACTTGAAGAACTCAGTCAGTGTCATGTGAACTACAATGCAAGTGTGTGGCGTCTTTTATTCCTCCGTAGTATTAGTCCAAGGCTATCTAGACATTTGCTGGTAATGGCTGCTGCGCCAACAGGTTATGGGCCCAGAAAGGATTTTGGAAACCGATGGAATCGTTTGTGCTTTGACGGAGATGAGAAAAACTATGAGTTGTGGGAAACAAAGTTTCTGCGTCTACAAGGGCTGAAAAGCACCATATTGAAAGAGCCTGACAGTGGCGGAGGCAAAGAGGACGCAGAAGGAGCAGCGGTAAGAGCCGCAGAAGACGCTGATAAAAATGAAGAAGTCTACGCTGAATTTATTCAATTGTTGGACGATACAAGTTTGTCTCTGGTCATGAGAGATGCAGCGGACGATGGGAGAAAGGCGTTGAAGATTCTGAGGGATCACTACGCAGGTACAGGAAAACTGCGTGTGATCAGCTTGTATACAGAGCTTACGTCTCTCCAGAAATATGCTAATGAAAGCATCACAGACTATATTATACGAGCAGAGACTGCTATCACAGCACTGAGGAATGCAGAAGAGATTTTGAGTGACGGTTTATTGATAGCTATGATTCTGAAGGGGCTGCCAGCGTCATTTAAGCCGTTTTCTATCCACACTACACAAAGTGATGAGAAGATCACCTTTGTCGAGTTCAAGACCAAGCTGAGGAGCTACGAGAGCTCAGTTAATGACAGCGTGATGAAAGTAAGAGGCAAAGACTTTGATGTGAAGCTGCTGACCTGTTATACTTGCGGCCAGAAGGGTCACAGGGCCCGCGAGTGCAAGGCTGCTGGTCACGGGGAACAACAGAGACAGTGGTGCCGTTTTTGCAGGAGTTCCACGCACAGAGATGCAAACTGCAGGCGGAGAGGACGACGAGACAACGTAAAACAGGCCATGGATGAAGAGGACCACGACCACCACCACACATTCGCCTTCAAGGCCCGCGAACGACAGGTGGACAGCGACTCGGGCGATGGACTGAAGCAAAGAGGGCTTATGGTCGACACCGGTGCTACATAGCGACTGACATGAACACATTCAAAGACTTTGATGAGAGTTTCGAGCCACGAAAACATGTCCTGGAGTTGGCTGATGGAGTGAGGGCCTCTGGCATAGCGCTGAAGAGAGGTGCAGCCAAAGTTGGGCTGAAAGACAATACGGGTCGAGAGGTGGAGACGATGCTGACGGGGGCGCTGTACGTCCCATCCTTTCCCCAAGACATTTTCTCGGTCAAAGCAGCGACGACCAATGGAGCCACGGTCGTATTCAAAGAAGGACAGAACAAGCTCATTCACGAGAACGGTACGACATTTGATATTACGGTGTATGATAGATTGTTTTATTTAAACACAGTTAAGGATGAAAATGTTGATGAATGTCATGGGTGTTATGATATCAAAACATGGCACGAAATTCTTGGTCACTGTAACTACAAAGATGTGTTGAAATTGCAAAAAGTCACAGAGGGTATGACAATTAAAGGCAAAACTGATACATCTAATTTGACATGTGAAGTGTGCACAAAAGGGAAATTTGCTCAGAGCAGGAGCAGAGAGCCAGATGAAAGGGCAAAGGCTGCACTGCAGCTTGTACACACAGATTTGTCTGGACCTATAGATCCTACAGCTAAAGATGGGTTCAGATACACATTAGCATTTACTGATGACTATTCAGGAGCAGTTTTTTTTAATTTTTTTAAATCTAAGAGTGACACAGTTGAGGCTACTGAGAAGTACATTGCTGAAGTTTCACCTTATGGAAAAATCAAATGCATTAGATCTGATAATGGTACTGAGTATACTTCTGGTAAATTTCAGTCATTGCTAAGTAGAAATGCCATCAGACATGAGACCTCAGCTTCTTATTCACCCCATCAAAATGGGACAGCTGAGAGAAATTGGAGAACATTGTTTGAAATGGCAAGATGCATGCTAATTGAGAGAGTAACCTACCAAAAGAGTTGTGGACATATGCAGTTATGACTGCTGCTGTCATTCGAAATATGTGTTACAACAAACGTGTAGGACAGACTCCACATGTTGACAGGAAAGAAGCCTAACCTTTCAAAAATGAGAACATTTGGGTCACCATGCTATGCTTATAAGCAAAACAAGAAAAAGTTGGATTCAAGATCTGAAAAGGGTATTTTTGTAGGCTATGATAACGATTCATCTCTTGAATGCTCTTATGCTGACATCATATCTGTCAATCTGTCAATCACACAGCTGGTTCTAATAAAGGGATCATTGCTGGCTCACTTGAAGAACTCAGTCAGTGTCATGTGAACTACAATGCAAGTGTGTGGCATCTTTTATTCCTCCGTAGTATTAGTCCAAGGCTATCTAGACCTTTGCTGGTAATGGCTGCTGCGCCAACAGTTGTGCAAGAAACTATGTCTATTATTTTGAAGAAAGAACCAAACGGACTTGGAGGAGATTGTCTCTTTTCTGCAGGAGGAAATGGCTGGTTCTGGCCGACTACAAGGCTATCGTTGTTTACATCTACGAGCTGTTCAAAGGGGATTTGTTGTTTCACAAGAAACGATGAGACTTGTAATCAAGGCTTTGGATCCAGAAGGAGTCGAACGATAGCCTTGTAGTGGAATCGGAATGAGCTCCCCATTGAAATCAGGACAGCAGAAAGCTTACACATCTTCCGCCGCAGACTGAAAACTCATCTCTTTCGAACTGCACTTCGAGCGATATAATTACTTACAAAGAATTGCTAACAAAGCACTTATACTAATAAAGGACTGGCTTATCTAAAGCCAGTTGAGTAGCACTTGAAATGTTTTAGCTCTATGAAACCTGATGTACTTATATGATTCTGTTTTCTTCAAGTTTGTATCTTGTTGGTCGAATGCACTTATTGTAAGTCGCTTTGGATAAAAGCGTCAGCTAAATACAATGTAATGTAATGTAGTCGGCCAGAACCAGCCATTTCTTCCTGCAGAAAGGAGACACTCTCCTCCAAGTCCGCTTCTCAAGTCACTTATGAAACGACGACTTTAATCTCGTAATTATTACTTTATTCTCGTAACATTACGACTTTATTCTCGTAATTATGACTTTATTCTCGTAATGTTACGACTTTATTCTCGTAACTATGACTTTATTCTCGTATTATTACTACTTTATTCTCGTAATTATGACTTTATTCTCGTAACATTACGACTTTATTCTCGTAATTATGACTTTATTCTCGTAACATTACGACTTTATTCTCGTAATTATGACTTTATTCTCGTAACATTACGATTTTATTCTCGTAATTATGACTTTATTCTCGTAACGTTACGACTTTATTCTCGTAATTATGACTTTATTCTCGTAATGTTACGACTTTATTCTCGTATTATTACTACTTTATTATCGGAATCTCTCTGTTTTTTTTTTTCTAAGTGTGGCCCTAATACTCCGTCGTAGTTACGAGCATTCCATGGAATATAACAAGTGTATCTCGAGCCTGTTTCTCAAACTTACCTGCCCCACCTTTAAATGAATTTACGGCAACAAAGCTAGCTAACGCTATGGGAAACTCTATCACTTTTGTCCACAGGGGGCGCCTGTATTTGTAGTGGCTTTGAACTTAAACCTGTGATCATGATTATTAGTAGAATTTAAAACTAAGAATGTAGGTTGCTCTTTTTGCATTTTCAATGTTCTTATTTAGGGATTATAAGAAAGCTTTTTACAAGGGACTGAGAGTTTGTTATGTTTTCTGCTTGCTGTGTCGACTGACTGCATGCCTGTATCTTCCTTACGGCCCGTCTACACTACAGGCGTAAAAAAATGCTTTCAACGCTTCGAATGGGGTGACGTAGGATATTTTCAAACTTCGCCGAACTGCATTGTGGGTAGCATGGCAAGGCGTTGCAAGCATCGCGAGCGTCTATCGGCGTCAAAAGTTGAACAATGTTCAACTTTTGAGGCTCGATGCTTGCTCGAAGCTGGCGTCAGCCAATCAAATCCCGTTTTTGCAATTCCCGCCAGTACAAGCGCTAGCCAATCAAACCGCGTGCAAACTGGGAGAGCCAGACCGCAGTTCATTTCCTCATATTCCAAACGAGAAATTACGGGTAGCAAATCACCCGGTTCTTTCCGACCAGAACTATTTACCGGGATACAACCGGAGGAACCAGGCATGGAGGGAGGTGGCAGAGACAGTGGGTGAAACTGGTAGGTTTTCGCCTGTTTGGGGATTTTATATCCAGTTTACTTCGTTTTAACATTGCTATTGCTTTGTATGTCGGGGGCGGGAGATTCATGTGATTGGTTGTTGGTCGTGTTGCTCGCAAAAAATCGCCAAGCTTCAGACACGCCCAGCTTCAAGATTTTTTGATGCCTGTAGTGTAGACGGGCCGTCAGTCTACATTATTTGGCACCTTTAAAAACTGTTACAAAAAAATCCCCTGGCTGTTGCTATGAAGAAGCTCTCCATGTGATGAGTGTTACCTGCTCCTCCAGCTGCTGCTCCAGCTGTGCGATGGCGTCCTCCTTCTCTTGCACCACGGCCTGCAGCTCCTGGCACCGCTGGAACAAACGCACCTCCGAGTCTCCGGACTGACTGTCTGGAGCCTTCAGCTTCTCCTCCATCCACTGCACCTGAAAGTACATGTTCACACTGTAAATACACATGTGTACGCATTATACACACACTCAGGGCCGCCTTAATGCACGGGCTGACCTGGGCTGAAGTCCAGGGGCCTACGGAAATTGGGGGCCTATCATGAACCAATAAAAAAAAAAAAAAAAATCAATTTTTTTTTTATTTCGGATGTTTTAAAACATTTTTATATAAATATAGTCTTGGCTTTCAGAATATGAAACTTTTATTTCCAAAATCACACGATAAATACATTTTTGAAGCTTGTAAAGGGAAGAAGACAGCTCTCCCTCGCCACTCTGCTGTTCTCCTCCCTCCGCTGAAATTATGAATGTAAGGCGTATAGTAATCATAGATAACACGGCAGGGTCCATTACAGTTTGTTTTCATCTGGTTTCAAATAAACAAAGTCTTGGCTTTCAGAATATTAAACTTGTTTCGGCAAATTCAGATGATAAATACAACTTTGAAGCTTGTAACGGCATAATTACAAGTGGAGAACGGAGTAACTTAACGTCACAGCAGGCATAACAACAGCCAGTGTTTCTCGTGAGTGTTTTCCCCGGGAAACAAACACAATACACACAAACGCAAAAATACACAAACACACACGTATACACACACACTCGCGAGCTTCCCCCAGACCAGTAATCCAAACGAAAATATCTTCCTTCCTTAGTATTTTGATCATTTGCTCCGCTAATCAATCAGATCGATGGATTCCAGAGATTTTTCTCAAAAATGATGACTCCGTAACAGTCAGTGGGCACCACTTAACAGCCAATCAGAATGAGAATATGTTTCACATGTGACTTATTCAAATTGCGACTGATTGAGTGACAGAAGAAGGTTGTTAAGGAGAAAATGTCGGAGAAGAAAAAGTTTGAGAGTGGCGCTCGGAAAAGGAAATTGTTGAAGGAAAAGGAGTTTCGAGACAAGCAGCTACAAAAAATGCCGAAGCTTACAGGTTATTTTTAGCCTGTAGGCCAGGATGAGGAGGAAGGACAGATGAGTTCTGTACCGAGCGGCAGCGGTGCCGGCCGCGGGGCCTCGGAGCCAAGTAGGCCGTCTGGTTCTGATAGCGATGGATTGGCGGGAGAGGAAAAACAGACAGGAAGGAGGACATTATCTGTTGGAGGAGATGGAGAGGACAACGAGGACTTGCTACGTGGAGAGGAGCCAACGGCAATCGGACAAATACATGAGGGAGGCCCGATACGTCACTCATCTGGAGGAGAGGACCAGACGCCATAGAGCAGAGTGGAGAAGTGTGATCACAGAGCCTGCCGAGGCTATAAATGACTTTGATTTGTTGTTTAAATAGGGGGCCTACAAAACCCATCAGCCCAGGAGAGGTATACACACTTTTGAACGGATCCTTACCTGCTGGTGAGCGGTGAAGGCCCGTTTTTCCGCATCGATCACCTGCGTCTCCAACTGTTGAATCTGGGAAAGGAAGAGCACAATATTAGTTTTCATTCCTCATTTGCGGTATTTTTGTTTGAATATTTTATTCTTCTATTATCTTTCTCTTTTGATCTTAAAACTGATATAATAAATATTTCATCCTATACCAGCACATACACATTAACACTTCCTGCAGCATCTGATCAGAAACTGTTTGTTATTTCCCCTCAGCTTCACATCAGAAGGAAAATATTCCATGTAAATCCTGAGTCAAGCACAACAGCACCAAATAAAGACAAAGCAAGTGCTGCATGCTGAAGCTGAATGAGCTCCAGATAATGCAAATCTGTTGCAAAGGAACAGATGCTTTGCAGCTGTTCATTGGGCATCCATTGCTCAGAAGGGTTAGAATCACAATAGGCATACTCAAAGTCCTATGCACATACATGGATTTGTTCTTCAGATGAAATCCGTATCTAATTACTTTAATTTGTAGCTGCTCATTTGTATTTAATTTCTGGTATTTTTTACTATTGTTAGCTACATGGAAATAATGTAATGTTGTCAACTAGAATAGCACTTGGAGAAAGCAGAGCTCCGCCAAGGCCCATGGTGCATTCATGAGCACCTTGGATGGTCTCTTTCTTGGACTTTGGAAGTCATTCTTCCACATTTTGTTTATTTATGCGCTTTAAGTATTCAGGTGGAAACTACATGGATGCTACAAAGACAATGTGTTGAATTTTTTTTGTTGAGATTAAATAAAAAAATTGATATTTGTTTCCCAGTTGTTGTTCTGATTTGAAGTGGCATTTTTGATTTTGCAAATCAAAAAGTTATTTTTCTCATTATTTGGAAACCACAAGTTCTTCCGGTGCAGACAAAAGTAAAATGTCATCCATGTATTCGCTTTATATTTGGATTTACTCTATAATATAACAAAATCAATTATTTTGGTTCATTAACATGCTGTCTTTCTTGGGTATTTCTCAAATGTAATGGCTCCTTTTCCTCTTCTGTGTCACTACAATGATCTGTAACCATTTGGAATATATATTTTTAACAGATTCATTCCATTGGCTATTTTTGTGGAAATTACATAAACCTTTGGCTCTCTTTGTGCCAGAAGGTAAGTGCTCTAAGACAACTTACTATATAAAAAACAAAACCTTTAGCACTAACTGTGAAATGTATTGCAGACTTCAATGCCAAGATTAGGCTGCCAATTCTTTTTGGCAATGTTTCGGTATGTTTACAACACAGTTACTTATATCTCAGAATTGATAAGGCAGTTTTATTCCTGCAGAAGTGCTACATATAGCTGCTATAGCACCTTTAACCAGCTACATAATAATAATAATAATAATAATAATAATAATAATAATGAGGTCACTTCTAAAAAGGTACAGCCAGCTCTTTGTTTGCTAAGATCAGAGCAGAGCCTGTGGAACCTGGTATGAGTGTGTTAAAAGCTGCTGCAACACCAAAAGGTCACAGTCTGGATACACACATGTGGATGGACTGGAAGCGCACACACACAAGGATGAAAAACCCTGAGGGAGTTGAAGGGAGAGATGACTTTATGAGCAACATTCCTCCGAAATTCCTCAGCTGAAAGTGGTGGAATCAGCATGATCAGACTCTTCTCAAACCTCAGTGGCTTTGTGAAAAAAAAATGCCAGAATCTTGATGGGAATTCTCTGCTTAGCAACTCTGCAACCATCGTGGTTAGAATATTTTTGCTCCATGTGCACATACAGTATATGGGGCATTCTGTACCGAATTAGTACAAAGTGCGGTCCCACAACAAGAAAAACTATTTAACAAAACAATTAAGTATTCAGACATAGATATTTACTAAGAACATGTTATGGTCTATTTAAACATAAGGCATTACATTTCATAGTGATAAGCTTCATATATACAAAAACATAATTTATAGGGTACTTTGGGAAGTAGCTGTCCCCAACCCTGACATCTACATTTCAATTTCTGTAAATAACACTTAAAACATTTTATTTTGTTGAATGGTGTATTTAGAAGATCTTTATGATTACATTCAAACAGAAGTTGGAATATTTAGATTTATAGTGGGTTTAATTTTTTAATAAAAAAACTATACTCAAAACATCTTATCCCCAGTTTTCATGTCACTACCGAAACAGGGGTTTTAGTCCAATGGCTGAGCCTGGTTTTTAGCCACACCCCTGCATTGTTGACTAGGGCTAGGCAGTGACACTGCATCCCTGTCCCTCATGGCTGAATGGCAAGTAGCTATATCCCACCATACTTTTGATATAAATCTGTTCCAAAATCTGAAAATTGGCGTGTAACCTTAAGAATGGTCACTAACGAACACATATTATCTTCAATTAAAGGTGGGGTAGGTAATTTTGGAGAAACCAGCTCGAGTGCGCTAGAATTTGAAAATACACAGCCGGAAAAAATCTGCCACTTCCTTACAGAGCCCCTCCTCCAACACACACGAACGCGCACATGACCAATGAGGCACGAGATAAGTTTGTGCACAGATGGAAGGGCTGACAGGTAGGTAGGCCATCCAGTTATTTTAGCCGGGCCGGCTAAAATGATTGGTCATGCTTTTTACAGTACTACGGCTTCCACAGATGATATTTTTTTATGGATTTTTTGTCAACGCACTTAAGATATTCATTGCTATCGGGATGTTAAGAGCATTCCATGGAATATAGCAAAAAGTGTATCTCGAGCAGGTTTCTCAAACTTACCTACCCCACCTTTAAGTAAACTTTTTCGGGGTTTTATGCAAACTATTAGTTTTTTATGTGTGTAAACATCTTCAAAGACGTGTATGCTAGCCATGTACTTGCTAGCATTCTTTAGTTATGCTCAAACTTAGCTAGAATCGTCACTACCGAAACATAAGTTTACGTTTCGGTAATTGACATGATCGTTTCGTTAGGGACAAAATTGAATGGTAAGCAGGTAAATCCCATTGTTTTGAAATAAATGTGTTTTAAAGTCTGAAAATCAGTGTGTTACTTTAAAGGTCTCTTATTATACTATTGTTAGGCATATATTATAGGTCTCAGATATATAAAAAACATGTCTATGAAGTGTTTTGCTCAAAATACCAAACAGATCACCCATTCTAGCCTCATCCCCCTCTATTTCAGCCTGTTACTAAAGTGCTGATTCTGGGTCAGTAGCTTCAAATATTCACACTTTAACATAAGGCATGTTATGAGTTAAGATTAAGCAATAAGGTTGAGGGAATATGATACAACCTTGAGAACAAAATACTGTGGTCACTACCGAAACACTGGATGTTTTGTAAAAAAACAAGTATATTGATGCAACTAAAATGATATGATACTGATTGGTTTAATTGTGACGAAGGTAACTTCGTCACTGTGGACTAACGGCTTCGGGCCTTGTATATTGCACATGTCTTTTATTTTTGGTAGAGGCTGGTAGTGTGGGTGAGATCCTTGTGGCTGGTGACTGTGTTCATCTGGGCAGCAATATTGAGGCTGTGTATCCTGTACCACAGCGATGAATAAATGCCCACACCGGGTTATATTTGAATTATCTGCCTCTGCCTCCTTGCTTGGTCTGGGCCGCTCAACGGTCAGCTTCACATTAATGTATGTTCAATTTCAACAATCATCAACTCTGGAATCAATATGACCAGTATTATACATTTTACAAAGAAAGTTTGCATTATGATTATGAATGACTTTCCAACTCGGGAAATGGGATCATCAGAGGAGCTAATGGATGCACCGTTGAGTTTGGCAGTCTGCTCTCCATGAGTGCCATTCTCATCAATCTTTGTTTTAAAGAGTGGTGTAGTTATGCCCTTTTTTTCTTTCTACGCCGACCAAGAAATTAGCGCTACAAGGGATCCCTTAACAAAAAGCAATGGGATTTTTTCGATTGGATTTGGCAGTATTGCAAACATTTCGATTTTTGGCTAGCACACTTTTATGATACTTCCATGTTTTGTTCAGCAGAACAAACTCCACTTCTGTGATTGCAGACATATGTTTATAGGGTTTTATATGTTGTTATGTCTGGTGTGCGTGCGAGATTGTGTGTGTGTCGTCTCCAGCTACAGCATACAGAATACATGCCCTGTAATTAACATGCTATCCTCCGCCACATGCTATATCTGTATTGAGAGAGGCACATGTGGTTTGTGGTACAGCAGAGGATCTATATAAAGGGTGCACTTTTGTGACATATATATTAATATTTGTAATGTAATTATAACAAAGAAGTAGGACCAGTGAAGTGATAGTAACCAAAGAAATCGATCGCGGGAATTTAGGCATGTTTCTATATTATTGTCTTATTTGTCAGTTTTAATGAGCACAAAAGGACATAATATGATCACCAAACCAGATGTGAAGATACCACAGGTTCCACTGACAAAAAGAACCCACAGTAGTAATTTCCAGGCCTAGAACCAATCCTCCACTTAAATGACAATTGGAACAGTGGTGATGTACCGGCCTTGGTTCCACTCTGGTCCAGAACACTGTGCAGTGGAAATAGTGAGTGGCTCTGGCAGGGTGTGGCTGCTTTTGGACGGCGCTGGGTTCACTTCTACTGGTATTTTGGAATTAACAGCAGCAGGGGAAAGCTGGACCACAGCCATGCCAGTCTCCACCAGCTGCAGCTTAGTAGTTATCACTCTTCACGGTAGTTTACACAAAGTTTGGTTATGGAACAGAACGGCAGCTACTTTAACTCATTAGGAGTGCTAATTTGTTTATTTCAGTGCATTTAACAGAACCACTGTGGAAACGAAATAGTTGGCAACGACATATGACATTTGTGTGTTGGCTGTAAGTCCTTTTCCACTTCTAAAACACTACTAAGTCACATTACTATGGAGTTACTTCTAGTAAAAAGGGTAGGACCAAAAGAAATGTGTACGTTTTGTAAATGCCAGATATCTGTCCTGGAAATGTAGAAATCTTTGTAAACGTTATTTTTCAAAAGTCTTATGTCTTCACTTAATTTTGTAATACATTTTTTACATTTGTCGGATA